TGGTGTATCTTCTTGAAAGTGAAAGGTCTATTGTATCTAAGTTTAAGTTATCTGTCCCATCTTCTATGAGGGACAAAATTGTCTTTCTTGTAACTCTAAGTTTTATGAATAAAATTCAAGTGGGTCGGCTAGGAGAGTGATTTTTCATATTCTCTCTTCTAGTCTGGCCGAGCACTCTTCGTCTCTCCTTCTTCTTCTTTCTCTTTTCTTTCTTCTTTCTTCTTCTCTATTTTGACCTAGAATCAACTAGGGTTTATTCACACTATAAACTCCAGAAAATGGTGTCTCACTCTTGAACCAAATCCATCTCATCCTATGAGCAATCACAGTAAACTTATAATAGCAAGACTGAAAGGCCAAGTTAAAGCATATAGGGAATTTCTAAGATATTCACATAAATCTACTAACATTAAGTTGAAAAAAGAACAGCTATGTTGGCATAAATGACATATTTCTCAAATAGGAGGAATGCAAACATTGAATTTCCCTTACCTGATAATTTCTGCTACATTTACATAATGACCATATCTGGCCTGTCATACAAACAAAGTTGCACAGAGGAAACAGAAAGCAGGTTTCCGTGATCCATTAAAATCTCCACTTTAACAAACAAAGGATAATTTTTCTCCCAACAACCTAAGTGCAAGCCTCTGCAAAGCCTTTTAAATTATTTATTCATTCATTATATCCAAGCATTATAGAGGAATCTCCCACCTGCAAATCCCTAAACTGAATGGAATGAGGTAACCTAAACCCTAAAGGACAGCACAAAGAACCCTGACTAAATAGAGACCCCAGGCTCACCTGAAACCCTTCTATCAATTCATTATTTCATCTCAACTAAGGATTTAGCAAACCAAACAGCAAAAGATGTACGTGCAGATTACAAAAAACTAAAATACAAATATAAACTCTGAATGTGTAGGTCAATGATTTCAAACTCCTTAATTTCTCCAAAAAACAAGACAAACTAACTTTTGACAATTATGACTGTTAGTTACAAGGATCAACAAGTTTTTTTTTCTTTTTTGATAGATATGGTCAACAAGTATATGCAAAGTAGTTTACTTGATGAGCTTTGTCCTCTTAAGTTTAAATCCATGTACCATATATATAATTTTGCACCATATAAATGATAAGGAAATATATTGTGTCCTTGAGAAAAGTTGCAATCAAAATCCAATATGCCCATTAACATTATTGGTAGAAGATCACCTCAAGCCATCAGCAACTAAAAATTTGAATATCTTTTTCTTTCATTATTCAAAGAAGGCCATATTTTTTTGGGTTGTATAATTATTTACTCGCCACTACATAATGCATCTTCAAACCTTTCTTCCAATAACCTGATCTACCAACCACTCTACTACCAAGATCTATTCACAGGTCCTTTCCTTCCATTTCTTAAGAACTGTCATCAATAGCAACCAATGCAAAAGACACCACTGTTGCAACATATAGAGACATCGCAGAACTTAGCGAGACAAATATCTGGCAATGCCAAAGCAAAACATTTAAAATTGGCGAACATCTTAAAATAAACATATGATGTCAAGTGTTTTCAGATGTCAACATATATTTCATTCCAATAACACCAAGTGCTTTCCAAGTTTATAATCATATGTAACTAATTAACTCCCAGAGAGAAAAAGGAATTCATGTCACCAAGAAAAGTTCACAAAAGAAAATTTGTAAGAAAAGGAAAGAAGAATCAAGCATAATCATAAGACAAACAAAAAACAACTAATTAAAAGGGAATACTTGCCTTCAGCGGCACATATCATTATTCCATGTACCCATTCTACAAACACCCAACATGTGCAACTAGGAACAAAATAATTCAAAATAAAAAGCAATAATTAAATGGTGAAACCTAGTTACAGCATGCAATCTTACAATAGAAATAAATTCATTAAAAAAATGAGGCACTCAAAATAAAACAAAAGTAAACACAAAACAATTGCTCAGCCACCAAAGTTGCTGAATTGGTGAAAGAGTTGCATTTCCATCATCAATATTCCAAGAGCCAAAATAGGCAGGCTTTACATGTAAATCAAAACAGAGTGAAAATGAATGCTAAAGGTAAAGAGTTACAGCTACAAGAAATGGAACTCCCAATGAGGGAATTCAGTTCCTAGCACTTAAAAACGACCCCATTTAAAATATAACTAGCAGAGAAAACAATGTATAGATCAAAAAACACGCATAAGCTATCAAACCCCGATGCTCATCCCCACAGGAAGCAAGTTCAACCAGAAGACATGTGCAGACCCTCGTCGACCAAAGCACAAAAACAGCCGCCATGGAATATGCAACAACTCCTCCTTGAGGAATAAACAATGAAAACGCCGAAAAGATCACCACTGGCAGCATACAGTAGCCAAGGAGGCTCAAACAACGGTAGAGATCCAAATTCCCATTGCGACCCGCCAACATGTTGAATACAACGTAGAGGAAAAAAGAGGCGAAAGTGACCCAACCCAAGATAACGCCAAAATGGATCTTTCCAGCGAGCAATTGAAAGAGACCGAAAGCAATGAGGAAGATAAATGGACCTGACAAATCGGCATCTTCATGGAGATTGGCATTTGCTCTGAAAGGGTTCAAGATCGAGATAGTCTTCCTCCAGATTTGGCGAGTATTGATTCCAAGCTCTTCAAGTAGGGGAGGCTCGTCCTCAAAGCTAGAACCAATTCCCACACCAGTTGCACCAAAAACAGGAGCCGAGAAGGATGTTGGTGGAGGAGCAGATCCAATATCAAATGACATAAAAGGGAGGTTTGGGTTTGCAGGGCGAGGTGGCTGGAACGGCGCCGTTGGGACTCGCCGCTGCTGCGGACCGCTTCCGGGATTCCCGCCGGAAGGAAACACTACGGGCGGGACATTGAATTCTTTCGCCATGGACGAAAGCTCAATTAGGGTTCAGAAAATGAAAGCTTCCAGTGCTTCAATTCGATCTGAACTGTAATTCGAAACGAAAAAGTGCCCAGAAATTCGAAGCGATAGAAATTGCATCAGATCAATTCCTCAGATGGACACAGCATGACAGCATCGGGCGGTCGGTTAAGAGGGGTTAGATGGAGTGAAACCCAATGAAATATAGAGAAAATTAGGATTAAATTTCAGAGAGGAGAGGAGAACTAGGGTTTGCTTGCAGATCGAGAAATGAAGAAGTCTAAAGTTGCTTCTTTAGAGTGGGGTTCAGTGCAGTTAAAGGTAGCCTTCTTCCCCGATGAGAAGGGATGTCAGATCTTTCGCCATCTCTCCTCTCACCACTTCTATCATTGCCTTTCTCTCTTCTCTTGTGCCTTGGTGAGTGGTGACCACTACAGCGTGTTCTTGTTGCCTCAAATGACTGTTTTACCCTAGAAGATTATTATATTACCTGTATTTAGCATCAATATACATAAAATTGTAAAAAAAAAAACGAGGAGAAAATTGGCATTGCAGGATCATCTGTGAGATGTGACATGGCAGGAATGCATGCATGTACGCAGGAAGTAGAATGTAAACTTCCTTCCTGAACTACGAGGTGAAGTTGATCATCGGCCGGGCCGGGCTTTACACTACACGGGCCCAGGCCTCATTTTAGGCCTATCTTTTATATATAAAAAAATATTACACATGTACAATATTTTATATTAAATGATATATATAATATGTATATAAATTTATTTTATTCATCACATTATAGAAAATATTATAATACCATATTATAAATTTATAATATCTATATATAAAACATATAATATAATATAATATAAATAACACATATATCTATTATAAATAAATGTATTTTTTATAAAAGCACAGACATAAAATTCCGTTGCCGGGAATCGAACCCGGGTCCCAAAGAACATATATTTAACTATATGTGCGTGGCACTGGACTTAAAAGTATTAACCTAAAGCCCAGCACTGAAATTTGTGCGCCTGTGTCAAATGCGAGCTTAAACGCAAAGCCAAGGCTCAATTAGACCTGTTCTCGGGCCCAAAACACAAGCCTGATTATGCGTTGGGCTGGGCTCGGGATTTGTCAAAAAAGTCCGGCCCAATTTATTTATATAATATAAAATATATAATATTTATTATAATATATATATATATATTATAATAATTTAATGTATACATTTTTTATTTTTTTTCTTTATAATTTCTCTTTCTCTATTCAGCAGCATGAGCTATATACTTAGAATTCAGGCTCAAGTCTGGATTTTGGGTTTTTATGAGGGCCGGGCTTGGGCCTAAGTTGTAGGCCTGATGGTCAGACCAGGCTCAGGCTCAGGCTCAGGCTCGGGCCTTAAAAAAATCCATTAATGCAGAGTGAAAGCCTGGCCCAATCCATGAGCATGTCTAGGCTCAACCGCTCAATCCTAGAGTTTCTAGCTTAAGCTAAAATGATCACCCATCGTGTAAGCGAGTTGAGCTACTCGCGAGCACTTGAAGATATTTGGCTTCAAACGAAATAGTTATCAAGTCGAGTTTGGGCGTCACAATACCCAATTCGAGCAGTTCACAAGCCTAATCAAACTTATAATAAAATATTAATTTTTATATTATCTTATTTATAATATACATTAATAAATTTATAATAGAGTTTCATATTATGTTTTTATTTATGATGCTTTTAATATTAATTTATTTATAATTTTTAATACATAATTGAATTTCCTAATATATTTATTTTTAATATCAATTTATTTATAATTGACTCAAATCGAAGTTGAACTTAAATAGCTCTCAAGTATCCACTTAAGTCGAGTTTGAGTAGGAAACATGAAACTCAAATTGAGTTTTCAAGCTCTAGCTTTTTTTAGTCAAATTGAGCTCAAGTAGCCCAATACTCTTGGCTTGGTTCTAGCCGTATCCTAAACAATGAGAAAAACTTAGTTGCTCCATGGAAGGAGGGAAGGCTACTTCCTAAGTTATAATCAAACACATTAAGAGGGTGCTTGGTATTATGATTTTGCATGAAGTGTTGTATTGGTGTAGGATGATGCATTAGAAAACAATAAAAGAATTTGGATACAAGGTAAAATTTTAAATTGTTTATTTTTTTCATAATAGATAAGTGCCACCGGGCATCATTAGATGCCACATAGGACAAAACACTCAACACAACTAACTACATTGTCAAAAAGACATGATATTGAAATGGTTTTAACCAATCAACCTCCCTTGTGAAATAACCACCTAATTGGTTACCACTTCTTGATACTAGTTGATTGATTACAAGTTATTCCATATCATGGTCAAATTCTTCCACCAAAAGTTACTTTTACATAATCCAAGAAAAATAGAAGTATAAAACATGGTTTTTAAAACCGGACCGGAAAAACTAAGAATCGGTCAGATGATTGGTTTTGGTTTACCCCAAAATCGGATTTTCTTCAAAAACCGTTGATTTTGGTCAACAAACCGCTGACCTGGGAGGTTAATCATTTGAATGGTTTTGACCGTTTTTTTTATTTTTTTTTAATTTTTTATGCTTTTGTCAGAATGGGCCAATCGTTCGACCCAGTAACCAAACCCTAACTGGTTTGGTCTTTGGGTCGGTTTTAAAAACCATGGTATGAAACATTTGTAATTGATTGATTACAAGTTATTTTGGTAAAATGCTTGTACACACCTACATGACAATGAAATAGCTCTGCAATGCTATATAACACCAAGATGCCAAAAAACACCAAAAGCTTTAGGCTTAGTTTGGAAAGAGTACAAATACAAATATATATACAGTATAAATAAATACAAAATACAAGGTTTTGCATTCTACATTTTTGTATTTGTACTCCTTCCAAAGTGAGCCTTGGCAATAACTTGGGTCTCTCGTTGTGATGCATAAAGAGTCCAAACTCCAATGCCATATTAATTTGGATAGAAAACCAATATTATGATGACAAGCACCAACATTCAGTTTCTAACATTGAATTCATATTTACCTTCCTTGCAAGTCCAAAGTGATCCCAGATTATATGGATGTTGATGTTGCTCGATCCGATATGGTGCACGAACCAAGGAAAGTAGTCAGATAGTCCTTGTCAACAGGGTGGAGCCGCACTTCAAGACTTGTGATCAAGAAAGGATGTTAGAGGCCCGAGGAGTTGTCCCCGGGTAGATACTCTGACGTTCAAGTCAGTAGAATGTGGTGGATAGTCGGGCCAAGCAACAAGGGTGCTAGTCCGAGTAGAGTAACAGTATGGGTGCTAGAAGTTGGAATCCCTTATCTTGAGTGGGGAATACCTCTTTATAGCTGAAACTCCGTGTCCTAATCGGATTGGGCTTCCAGGGTTGCCGGGATGAGGTTAACCGCCGAGGTCTTTGGGATAGAGTCCTATTCCCCATCGGAGTTGTCTTCCTCCCTCTTCCTATCAGTAGTCGTGCTTATCCGTATGACGTGTAGCTAATGTAGCTGAGAGGATAAGATGGGGGGCTACAGTAATAGCGTAGCGCAGCTGGGATCGTGGAGTTGGCCGGGCCATCCCAACGTGGCCGGGGTGACCGGGCGATGACTGGGCAGCCACCTGTCTCCTAAGGCCAGCTCAGCCATGACCCAAACCGATGCCTACTCTAAACTCTAAAGCCTTCTAAACAATTGATCGTTGGAATGTTAATATGGCAAATCGACATCACCACCCATATTATAAAGGCATCTAGTGTAAGGTCATTTGCTATGCACATGTTCAAGTAAAGATAAAAGGGTAATCACTAGAAAGACGAAAAGGCATTTAGATTTTGAACTTCTCTTACTATATTTACACAAATGCCTTTAACTAATTGATTATATTTAAAAACTAAAATATTTAAATAAATATCAGCCTCTTTTAGTTATTAAATTTATATCATATGATATTTAACTTTTATGTCGTGCATGAAAATACCCCTAATCATTAAGTCAAATGATGAAATATGTTAAATTACCAAAATGCCCACCTAAACTTTTCTTATTTTCCTTTTCTCTTAAACTCTAATAGACGAAAAATACCTTCATTTTCTACAAACAAAACCAACTAAAATATCAAGAATAATTTCATAGGCATAGAAAAAAAATTAAATTCTTGATACATTTCACTCACATGAATGTATTTCTTTATCCACTCCTTACTCCAATAAATCAAGTAAAACCCAACAAAACCATAAATTTATATCTATGGTTGGGACTTACTTGGTAATCGACTGCCCATAAGGTAGTAGTCAACTACCTATGACAATCGAGATTGATATCACCTAATAGTCAACTACCYGGAAGGTATAGTAGCCGAGTACCTATGACAGTCAAGCCTAGTGTTACACTATTTTTAATTAATAGTCAACTATTCGGTAATTAATCATCGATTATGTAAGATAATCGAGATTGAGTAACAATTAGTAGTTTGTAGAGAAGAAATTAAGATTCCTTTTAGTGAGTAGTAGTCGACTACCTATTTTTTATAGGATGAAGCAATTGACTACTTGGCCGTGATAGTCAATTACTTCACAAACAAAAATTAGATTTTTAACCATTTGAAAGCTCAACGGTTCTTTCCTCTTTTGGTAAGCCTTTAAAATCATTAAGAACAAGCTTTTAATGTTTTTTAGAGTGGTCTAAACCCTTTCTAATGACTATATAACAGTCACAAGCTCTCTAAGCTTGATTCTTGCTATATATGTATGAGTGTCAGATGAAAAATTGAACGAGGAAAATGAAAATGAATTGTGCAAAGTATTTCAAATGAAACAAGAGTAAAAAGCAAGAGATAAAAGAGTGCATGTGACGAGATTTTGAGCTAAAAAGATTTTCATCTTTGTAACTACTTATCCTATATCTTCAAGAGCTGTATAGTCTATTAATCATTGTGCATTTGCTTGCATTTGTTTAGTTTAAATTGTATTTAGGTATCAGCCTTGTAGAGGCATTACATTGTGCTTCATATGTATATGTCTTCATTATTATTGTATTCATTCAATTAATAGGTATAGGTTCTAGCTAAGCATTGCTAAGTGTTCTAAAATTGAACACTATAAGGTTAGAATAGCAGCTACAAATCTATGTAATTAAAAGTTTTGTTGGCACATAGAAGTCCAACTATTATAAAGGTTTTGTAGGCACTTGAAAGTCCAACTTGTGTAAAAGTTTTACTAGCACCTAGAAGTTTAGCTTGTATATAGTGGATATTTTCACGTGGTGTGCCTAATGAGAGGATATTTGTTGGCTTGGCCAAAGTAGGCTATAAATCCTTTGTGTGCATTTTATTGTTCTTGATATTTGTTGTTTCTTTGGTTACTCAGTCTTGTACATACAATACAAGACATTTTTGCTCTTTACCTTTATTGCATTGTGATGA